CGGGGCGGCTCGCCCTGCCTCCCGAGAGCGCGCGACCGGCCCAAGGTCACCCAGCGGCTCTCACGCCCGGGGGAGCGCCGGCAAACTCGCGGTCCCCCGGCCCCGAGCCTGGCGCCTTCACCGCTACGCCGGCCGGCTCGCTCTCTCCACACTTCATGGCAGCGTCTCTCAGCCGTGACAGCCTGGAAGAACCCTGGATTACAAGAATTGGGTTCGACGGGGAGATGCTGGCCGGGGAATTCTGGGAGTTGAAGTCCACACCTCTGAAAGTGGTCAAGTTGGAAAACACTGATGTAGTCCAGTAAAGGAAAGGAAAAGGCTGCCTTGGCCATCATTAAACAGCAGGGCCTGTGGGAGCATCCACGGGAGAAAACGTGTAACCTGGTTTCTGGTCTTGCACAGTAACGGAGGCCTTGAATTCCCCCAACAGGCTGTCTTAGTGCAAGACGCCAAGCCAAGGGAGAAACCGTGTAACCTGGTTTCTAGGTTTGCACCCCAACAGGCGGTGCTGGTGCAAGACGCCAAGCCAAGGCTAGGAGAGAACTCCTAGGCGGGTTGGAAAATCCCGTTCTAGGGCACAAGGCGTTCAGTCTGGCTCAACGTGTCCTGCGCAACGGGCACTCCAGCAGAGCCAGGCTGCTCTGTGTTGGGCCGCTGCACGGCAGAAATCTGATGCCGAAAGAGAGCGACCTCCCGCCTCCCCCCTCGCGCTGGCTCTCCCTGGGGAAAGGAAGGGCGGGTGTGGGGTCCCTGCAAGCTCTAATGCCCCTTCCCAGATGCAACAGAGACCAAGGCTCAGTTCTTGTTTTCAAATGCAGGCATTAACCAGTCATCCCTGCAAGTATCTCCGGGTCCCATCCAGCTGTTGCTGCTGCTTTGTTAAAAATCACCATCTCTAGTTTACCATCTCTCTTCTCTCCCTGTTCTGCCCCTCCCTTCCCCACCCTCAGTCCTCATTCTCTTGCATGTATATGCCGACACATCTGTCTTGGTCAGGATTCTGCGTCATATGTCTGATGAACAGGCACATAAAACGCTCATGCAATATCAAATTATGGCGTTTTTAAGGTACAACAATCACTCGTGTCATTAAAATAAACAAAACATAGATAAAAGTCCAAAGGGTAGGTTCACACAACACAGACAAAAATCTGGTTTGCCTCCTTTATAGCTTAGCAGGCTGTGTGCACCCAGCCAGCCATGTTTGTTCAGTAAACCATGGTTTAATGCACTGTGCGAACACAGGCGTTGCAGCTAGACATGATAATTAAAAATAACAATGTGCATGTGTTGATGTCCCAACACTAACCTCACTGTAGAGTCCTTGGGGCTCTCTGAGCTTGGCTGTTTGCTTGCAGACGTTTCATGACCCAACTAGGGAACATCACCAGCACTGACGATGTTCCCTACTTGGGTCATGA